TGAGACTTTCAGCTTTAATTTAGACAAAATTTTCGGTAATTTTCAGATACTGAAATCGAATTATTGTTGCTAGCTAGAATCGTTTCAGTGGGTTCATTGTAAGGGTAGCATATAGTATGAATCGTGTTGAATCACGTAATTATCCTGTACGGTTATCCTGAAAATAAATAACGCGTAGAAGTTGCTCTTTCAGCAACGAGACTTTTTACAGCAGAAAGTTGTCAGTAGATTCGTTCGAAAGGTAAGACTTTCAGCTTTAATTTAAGTATACAATGAATTATCTTATGTATTTGCTGAGTAATTCACTAAACTCTGAAGTAATTCAAGAAAACCGGATGAAAATTACGTAAGTTTTCATTCATAACGAATTGCGTAACGATTTCAGCAAATCACTTTTCAAAATTCGCTTCTACATTCACGTACGATAAATATACAGGTGCGAACGGCCGTAATGTCCTGCAAGGATTTCCTTCTAAAGCCCCGATGAAAGCCGATCCACAACATCCGCGGCGCCTTTCAATTCCCATCCAATAAAACCGATTCCCTTTATCATCACCCGAATTATCCTCGCAAAACTTATCATTTACAATACCGTTGCATCGTTTATTAGCATTGTTAATCATTCGTGGCAAGATGAACGATCATCCACTTCTTCCACATTAGCATTTGTTCGTTAATCTGTTTTCTTTCGATCCGTTGTTTTGTTCTACGCAAAAGATTAGCAAAAGAAATTATGAAGGAGAGGCTCATTATTAATGAAGTTATCGGGGAACCCTTAACGACTTGCCCCGGTTGAACTTTCCGTTCGCAATTAATCATTCATAATCTGGATTCGATTGACTTCGATTTCTTAATTAAGAAATGTTTCCCATTAAGCGGCCACCACCACCAATCTGTGTGTGTGTATTTTTTTTTTTTAATTTAGTTTTATTATTTCGCTCAAAGCAAACCCGGGTAATTGATTACTACACGAGTTTGCATACTATATATATATATTACGTAATTGCGGCCTTCTATAGAAAGCTTCGTAATGAATGTCCTTTGAACGACGATTCTTATCACGAAATGCAATTTGTGTTGGGCTTACGCAAGAAATGTGTCGTTGCGCAATACATTTTATTGCTCTCTCTCTACACTATATACACACACACACTAACACTTATTCACTCAATGTAACCAGGATACCGCAATGACAACAAAAAGGACATTTACCAAAGGTCGTCCGCCTCTCGCACGCAGTATTCGGCCCTCCTGATCATAATGGATGAGGACGTTCTTCCTGATACCAATTGGTGAGGATTTTACTTCTTTTTTTTTGTCTTTGTGTCTTTTTATTTGTGTTTGATGGGACGTGACGATTTGCAGCGAGCGTCTTGCTAAGGTCTCGAGGTTGCCGTTAAACGCAGGTGGACGGATCGAAAGCGTCCTGGAAACAATCGACAGGACCATCTCGATCCTTAAGAGCGTCGAGCACATAAGCGACGCGGGCGTCGTCAAAGGCAGCGACGTCCTGGACGACGTCGCTGCGGAGGCGAAACGCAAGCACGATGAGATGTTAAATGGGCCGCAAAAGAAATGGTGGCAGCGTCTGGATGTTGCGGAGAAATGCGACCTTCAGTTTTGAACGTCTCGAGGTAAGAAGAGAAGTCTCAACAATGCAGACAATAAAATATAAGATTTTTGAAGTAATTAGTAAAAACATTTATCAACTTTCACAGTAAATTTTCTAGAAAATTGTAATATTTGTAAATTTATAAAATAATTTCATTAACTATATTTTTAGCTTTAATTAACACATTTAATATTACTTAAGTTCTTTCTAGAATTAATGAAATTTGCGTTTGTCTCATCCAGAAAAAAATACATTTGTGAACTTTCACTGTGAATTACTAGAAAACTGTAATATTTCTAAATTTAGAATTTGAATCATTTTATTCCGTATATTTTTAGCTTTAATTAACATATTCAATATTACTTATTTTCCTTCTAGAATTCCTGAAATTTGCTGAAAAGTAAACAAGCGTTTGTCTCATTCAGAAAAAATACATTTGTGAACTTTCACTGCGAATTACTAGAAAACTGTAGTATTTGTAAATTTACAATTTACATCATTTTATTCAGTATATTTTTAGCTTTAACTAACATATTCAATATTACTTAAGTTCTTTCTAGAATTCCTGAAAAGTAAAAATGTGTTTGTCATGTTTAGAAAAAAAAATATATTTGTGAACTTTCACTTTAAATTTCTACAAAACTGTAATATTTCTAAATTTACAATTTACATCATTTTATTCAGTATATTTTTAACATTAACTAACATATTCAATATTACTTAAGTTCTTTCTAGAATTCCTGAAATTTGCTGAAAAGTAAACATGCGTTTGTCTCATTTCAAAAAAAATCATTTGTGAACTTTCACTGAGAATTACTAGAAAACTGTAATATTTCTAAATTTACAATTTACATCATTTTATTCAGTATATTTTTGCTTTAATTAACATATTCAATATTACTTAAGTTCTTTCTAGAATTCCAGAAATTTGCTGAAAAGTAAACATGCATTTGTCTCATTTAGAAATACAATATATTTGTGAACTTTTACTTTAAATTACTAGAAAACTATAATATTTCTAAATTTAGAATTGCAATCATTTTATTCAGTATATTTTTAGCTTTAATTGACATATTCAATATTACTTATGTTCTTTCTAGAATTCCTGAAATTTAGAATTCGAATCATTTTATTCAGTATATTTTTAGCTTTAACTAACATATTCAATATTACTTAAGTTCTTTCTACAATTCCTGAAATTTGCTGAAAAGTAAACATGCGTTTGTCACATTTAGAAAAAAAAATACATTTGTTTTAAATTTCTACAAAACTGTAATATTTCTAAATTTACAATTTGAATCATTTTATTCTGTTTATTATTAGCTTTAATTAACATATTCAATATTACTTAAGTTCTTTCTAGAATTCCTGAAATTTGCTGAAAAGTAAACATGCGTTTGTCTCATTTAGAAAAATATTATATTTGTGAACTTTCACTTCGAATTACTAGAAAACTATAATATTTGTAAATTTACAAGTTAAATCATTTTATTATATACAATTTTGTCTTTAATTAACAAATTCAATATTAATTATGTTCCTTCTGGAGTTTCAGACATTTGCTGAAAAGTAAACACACATTTACAAACATTTCTACAAAACTGTAACATTTCTAAATTGAGAATTCGAATCATTTTATTCAGTATATTTTTAGCTTTAATTAACATATTCAATATTACTTATGTTCTTTCTAGAATTCCTGAAAATTGCTGAAAAGTAAACATGCGTTTATCACATTTAGAAAAAAAATACATTTGTGAACTTTCACTTTAAATTACTAGAAAACTGTAATATTTGTAAATTTACAAGTTAAATCATTTTATTCTATACATTTTTATCTTTAATTAACAAATTCAATATTAATTACATTCCTTCTGTAATTTCAGACATTTGCTAAAAAGTAAACACACAATTAAAAAAAATTCTACAAAACTCTAATATTTCTAAATTTATAATTTGAATCATTTTATTCCGTATATTTTTAGCTTTAATTAACATATTCAATATTACTTAAGTTCTTTCTAGAATTCCTGAAATTTGCTGAAAAGTAAACATGCGTTTGTCTCATTTAGAAAAAAAAATACATTTGTGAACTTTCACTGTGAATTACTAGAAAACTGTAATATTTATAAATTTACAAGTTAAATCATTTTATTCTATACATTTTTATCTTCAGTTAACAAATTCAATATTCATGCTTATTTTCATAATGTTCATGTAATTACAAGAAGCTCGTTTGATCTTCAAATTCACATTTTCATCAACATGAAAAGGCAAAGTCATTTCCGGTCTTCGACAGCTCTCACTTTTCCTTCCCTTCTTCCTTCCTGCAAAAGTCAAGAGCTGAAGAGGAAGCAAAAAGACGGAAGCTCGTTTCTTGCACGACACGGCGTTAAGTAAATATTAATAATCGGTGCCTCGGGTGTCCTCTCGAAATGTTTTTATTACGATCCACGGCGGCAATAGTAGTTTTGTCCGTAATGCTTTCCTCCAGGAAAGAGACGAAACGAATGTCTGTAAATTTGATTCGTTTTTACTACAGAACTGGACCCCCATGCGCCCCATTATTCTATTTTCACTGTGAGAAGAGAAACATTCTTGTTTCCTTTATATATATTTTTTTTTGTATTTCAAAACGCGCAGCATTCTTTTCCAAGGGAAACCGCAACGTTTTTATTAAATTATATAACTTCTCCCTCGACTGCTTACATTATTTATTATTTTTTTTACTTTTGTGCTTGCTACTGCTACATTTTTTTATTTTGTATGTTTTTTGGATATTCGCAGCAACAAAGGACGAACCTTTTGAATACTTTAAATGAGAGGGATTATGTTTAGTTTCCTCCCTTCGTTCGCTTCGTTTTTTTTTGTAATTCGCTCTTCACATTTTCCACCCCAATTCTCGACTCTGAAACACACACATATTTACCGAATTTTTCTTACGTATTTTCCAGAGCCAACCGAACAACAGCCCAATGGAATTTCAACAATTCAATTGTTCTGTTCGCAGCATTCTTCATTTATATTACATTTGTTTTTTTGTAACTAAGCAACGTATTCAATGTTATTATTGTTAAAGCTTACATAACTAAATTTTATTCTTGTTTATTTGTTTTGTAACTAAGCAATTTATATTATCAATTGTTAAAATTTTATCTAATAACTAAATATTTTTGTTGTTAATTTAAAAGTTTCTCAATTAATAAGAATCAATAAAAATTACATTCTTCTTCTATTAAATTATAATAATTAATATTATTACTAAGAAAAAGAGTAAATTGTTTGTATAGAAATTTTAAATTTCGCGCTTTGTTAGTTAAATGCTAGTAAGGATTCAAACAAGGATTACAGGGATCTGCATTGCAACCTACACACCCCGGTCCTTCTCTTATTTGACAGATTCTAACTAAACAAACGTTTAGCGATGCGTGTTTGTCTTATGTATAATTGGATAATTTGCAGAATGTAATCAATTAGTTCAGTGATTAATTAGTGATTTGTACTGTGCAAGTGAGTACTGTGAGTACTGAAGCTGTATAACTTCCATTTAATTAGATTACTCATTCATTATCATATCAGTGTTTCTTTTATTTATAATGTTATTCATTTGTTTTAGGTGAAGATGATTAGGCAAGGCTACGATCGTAAACTGGCTGAAAAGCTGATCATTCTTAACGATAGAGGAGTGGGTATGCTCACCCGCATCTACAACATCAAGAAGGCATGCGGGGATGCCAAATCCAAGCCGGGTTTCTTATCAGACAAAAACCTGGAATCCTCGATCAGAACCATCACCAGGAGGTTTCCGCAGATCGATGTGAAAAGTCTGCAGCCACTGTTCCTGATCAAGAATGAAATCATCAAATCGCTCTCCTTATACTATTACACGTTCGTAGATTTGCTCGATTTCAAGGATAACGTGTCTGAGCTGCTCACAAGCATGGATGCGTATCAAGTCCATTTGGATATAACTTTGAACTTTGAGTTAACCAAAAATTACATGGATTTGGTGGTCACCTATGTGTCGTTGATGATTCTGCTTTCGAGGGTGGATGATAGAAAAGCGGTTTTAGGTCTGTTCAACGCCGCCTACGAGATGGCCCATTCGGAGGGTGACAAGAGTTTCCCCAGATTGGGCACGATGATCATCGACTACGAGATGCCTTTCAAGAAGTTGGCGGAAGAGTTCGTGCCTCACTCGAGATTAGTTCTGAGCGCGCTCAGTTCGCTCTACGAGACTTACATGAATCGTAACGTATCTGCTGTTAAGTGGAGATCGGATTTTAAATTGAGTTTGGTGGGGAATCCGTCTCTGCTCTTGAAGCCAGTTATTGCTGATAGCATGTCTTGCGAGTATCTCTCGTTGGATGTGATGGACAGATGGATCATCTTTGGATTGACTCTGTGCTACAATCAGATCGCTACGGATATATTCAATCCGATGTGGGTTGGGGCTTTGGAGTCGTCCTGGGCCGTGCCGCTGTTTCGTGACGAAGTTATTCACATTCATCCGTACGTTTTGAGTTTCTTTGAGTTAAATAAGAATGTTAAAGGTATTTCCAAGAGGATTTCGGAGGTGAAGGATTGCCAGAACCACGCCGTGCAGAAGGCTGGGTATAAACATAGGGAGCGGAGGAAATTCTTGAGGACGGCTTTGAAGGAACTGGGATTGATTCTCACCGATCAACCGGGGCTTTTAGGACCTAAAGCCTTGACGGTGTTCATGGCTTTGTGCTACGCCAGAGACGAAGTGCTTTGGCTTTTGAGGCACAACGATAACCCGTCGCACGCTAAAGGTAAAGGAAAGAGTCCTGAAGATTTGGTGGATAGGCAGTTGCCGGAGCTGCTGTTCCACATGGAGGAATTACGAGTTTTGGTGAGGAAATACAGCCAGGTGATGCAGAGGTATTACGTGCAGTACCTCTCCGCTTACGACGCTATTGCTCTGAAGAACATGATTCAGAATATGCAGGTGTGTCCGGAGGATGAGAGCACGATACTCTCTTCGCTTTGCAGCACCATATCCAATTTATCTATTAAACAAGTGGAGGACAATGAGTTGTTCGATTTCATCGCGTTCCGACTCGACTGGTTCCGCTTCCAAACGTTCATCTCCGGCGGGAAATCGTCTATTAAGATCTCCGACAACAAGGAGCTGGTGCACTTCTTCGACTCGGTGCAGTTCCACACGAGGATGGTCGATCACCTGGATAACATCATCACGGAGACTTCGGATTTGTCGATCTTCTGCTTCTACAGCCGCATCTTCGAGGAGCAGTTCCACATGTGCTTGGAGTTCCCGGCGCAGAACCGTTACATCACCGCGTTTCCTTCGATCTGCAGCCACTTCCAGAACTGCACGCACGAGCTATGCCCCGAAGAGAGGCACCATATTAGAGAGCGCAGTTTGTCGGTGGTGAATATCTTCTTGGAGGAGATGGCCAAAGAGGCGAAGAATATCATTACGGCTATCTGCGATGAGCAGTGCAAGATGAGCGATAAGTTGCTTCCGAAGAACTGCGCTATCGTCATATCGCAGCAGATGAACAGGAAGAAGAAAGATAAGAACAAGAAGCACATCCTGGAAGTGGAGAGGCCGGGGAAGGAGAGTTACCGGAAGACACGCGAGAATTTGACTACAATGGATAAGCTGCATATGGCGCTGACCGAGCTGTGCTTCGCCATCAATTATTGTCCGACGATTAACGTTTGGGAATACACCTTTGCACCGCGCGAATATCTCCATCAACATCTGGAGAATCGCTTCGCTCAAGCTCTTGTTGGAATGGTGATGTTCAAACCGGAGACTAACGAAATTGCGAAACCGACTGAGCTTTTGGCGAGCGTCAGGGCTTACATGAACGTGCTGCAAACTGTTGAGAATTACGTGCACATCGATATAACGCGCGTCTTCAACAACTGTCTTCTTCAGCAGACGCAGAAAGTCGACAGCCACGGAGATAAAACCATCGCAGCGCATTACACGCAATGGTACAGCGAAGTGCTTTTACGACGAGTCAGCGCTGGGAACATCTGCTTTTCGATGAATCAACGCGCCTTCGTCAGTTTAACAGCGGAAGGAGCGATCCCGTTCAACGCTGAAGAGTTTTCAGACATCAACGAGCTTCGAGCACTGTCCGAACTGATCGGCCCTTACGGCATGAAGCAGCTCAGCGAGACGTTGATGTGGCACATCTCCAGCCAAGTGCAGGAGCTGAAGAAATTGGCCGGTGCGAACAAAGAAACTTTAACTGCGCTCCGAACGAACTTCGATAAACCTGAGGTGATGAAGGAGAACTTCAAGAAGTTGACCAACGTCGAGAACGTGCTCCAACGCATGACCATTGTTGGTGTTATCCTGAGCTTCAGGCAGTTAGCGCAATCTTCCCTCACCGACGTCTTGGAAGAGCGAATCCCGTTTTTGCTGAGCTCGATCCTCGATTTCAAGCATCATCTTCCGAGCGGCGATCCCATGAAGATCGTCAGCGAGATGACCTCGGCCGCTGGTCTTCCATGCAAAGTGGATCCAACTCTGGTGAGCGCGCTGAAGGTGCAGAATCAAGGCAACGAAGTCGAGATGGAAGATCATTCACTCGTCTGTCTCCTGATGGTCTTCGTCGCCGTATCCATTCCGAAACTGGCGAAGAACGAGGGTTCCTTCTATCGCGCCTCCCTCGAAGGACATTCCAACAACATACACTGCATGGCTCTGGCCATAAACAACATCTTCGGAGCGCTGTTCACGATCTGCGGTATGGGAGATATCGAAGATAGGATGAAGGAATTCCTTGCTCTAGCTTCCTCGAGTTTGCTGCGCTTGGGTCAGGAGGCCGACAAAGAGGCGATCAGGAATCGCGAGTCCGTTTATCTGCTGCTGGATCAGATCGTGCAGGAGTCGCCCTTCCTCACCATGGACCTCCTGGAATCCTGCTTTCCCTACGCACTCATCCGCAACGCTTACCACGCAGTCTACAAGCAGGAGCAGGCGATGGCATAACTTCACCAATTAGCCAAAATCTATTTATTTTTTAACCTACCCTCCCGTATATATTATATAGCTTTAAAAAAAAAATACATTTTTTTAATACAGTTTATATATAAACATATTAAGTACAATTACAATAAAAATACGTATATGAAATAATTAGTTTTTCTTTCTTTCAACATTCCTGAAAAAATAAGCTAAAAAGATGAATTTGAGTCTGAATCTCAACAAATTTGAGACAAATGTTTCTTATACTTACTAATTACGATCGCAGTTGCTTCGAAATCAAAACAAAATGGGCAATTTGTTCATTTTTATTATATAGTATTTACATATATATTATTTTCATTTTTTTTTTCTTCTTTAAAGTTTTTTTTTTATACAATATCAATACACAATTTTTCAGCATCAAATATATATGATTTTCCACACATCATCATCATCATTGGTGTGTTTGTGTGTGTGTGTCCTATTTGTATATATATATACTTTCATTTGTTTATTCATTTTTTATACACAAAACGATTGAATAAAAATAAAAACAAAAGAAGGAAAACAAAAACAGACATTTTGACTGGTTCTCATAGAAGAATAGATACAATTAATTAATTAGAAACTTAATACACACACGTACACTTGTTCCAATTTCCAAAAAAAACAAAAATCAACAATTTTCTTTGTTTGTTTCCCGCAAATCTACAATTTGTTGTTACTCTATCATCATCATAAACTCGCATCTTCAAATTGTTGAAATCAGCAAACCGGAAGTGCATTTGCCACAATCTTATATCACATTTACCTGAAATTTATCAATATACTCTTGTTTTATTCATTTTTTTTTGTTTGTTATTACTTTATTTACTCGAATCGCGAACGCAGAAAAAAAAACAAAACTAATTACAAAAATATCTTCGTCACCATTGTTTGTTGTTTTTTTAAATATTTCTGGTTGCTCCTTAAAAAAACGTATGTCTTTACGTACATTCAAAAACATTGCTTCATCCACAAGAAGAAAATAAACAGAGAGAGAATCTTCTCGTAGAATTTTCTTGATTTCCATGGAATGTCTTCAAATACAATTCGCCAAGTCAAAAAAAAAACAACAACAAAAGAATATACAATAAAAAAACGTTAGTATATATAGTGTCTCTTTAAAACGTACCCTAATTGAAATGAACAACATTCACGTAATTCTTATTTATTGCATTACAAAAATAGTTTTTTTTAAATATTGAATAATATATATATTGTTTGTAATTTTTTTTATACATATTTGTTAATAGAAAGGAGAGGATATATATTATTTATTTATATATATAATTATAATAATTCTCAGTAAACTCATTCATTTCAATTAAGATTTAAAAAAGTTTTTTTTTCTTCTCGTCTTTCAACAAAGTCGCTCCTACATCGTCAATAAATTACAAATTAAAAAAGGGTTATTTTGGTTACCTAAAACAACAAATGTACAACTAAGTTTCGGTACCAAGAACAACAAAATTATCCAATTTTTTTTTTGTATCTCTTTAAAAAAACAATGGTAAAATATTCTTTTTTTACTCTCGTCGTCTCTTCTCAAAATGTGTGGAAACGTCGGTTCTCACCGTAAATACAAGTTTTTTTTTTGTCTTCCTCCTCAATCAATTCCAAACTTAGTTTAAACATTCAAAAATTACACGTATAAAAGGGATAGAAAGTAGAGACAAGTACAGTATAAACTAAATATTTGTAAAATTAAAAACAATATATATAAATATGTAAAGAGGAAATGTAAAGTGCGAATACTGAAAATAGTAGCAAGAAAATAATAAGTATATAGTGAGAGAGATCAATTGAGCTAACTGAGATTATTTGGCAATTGTTTTATGTGTGTGTATGGGCGTATTTAGAAACCTCAAGGAAAGAAAAACTGTATTGATACTTAATAATTATGGCTCCTTATTGATTAAGAAAATTTGAACATTTGGTTGTTTGGGTGAGAACCTTTTTCGTTTGTTGTTTGCTGCTGCTTCTGCTGTAATTGTTTGTTGTTATTGTTGTTGTGAGGGATTGAGGAAATTAATTAGTTAAAGTAATAGTTTGTAAATCTAACGAATAATAATAATTCTTAATAGCGAAATAATAAATCAGCCTTTGTATGTATTTTTTTTCTTTCTTTTTGTCCACGATTTTCAATAGATCTTGTGTGTGTTTCCTCGAATAAAGGAAGCTAAAAATATATATATTTATGTATATATATATATAGAGATATAAGTTTATATCCTTAAAAAAAATTAAATAATTGCTAATTTAAACAAACAAAAATACACAGTGGAAACAAAAAAAAATAATAATAATATTAAGAGTAAAATAGGAGAAATTAAACTAAAACAAAAATTATATGTAAAAAAGGGGGAAAAACAAAACGTAATAAGAAATATCTTTATGCTGGAAATATTTTGCTTTTCTCTCTAAATAGAAACAAAATAATATATATATATAATATTTTTGTTTAAAAAAGGTGACTAAAAATTCGAATGCACCCGTTTTTCTTTTGTTTCTCGAAAGAATCGCGATCTTTCTTTGTTTTGTTTTGTTTTGACCGTAGATTTGGTTCGCACTACACGCACTAAAAAAATCGAGTCTTTCGTATGTTATTGTTGTTGTTATTCTATGTTGGATTTTCATGTTATTTTCTTTCAGTTCTCGTGTAGCAATCACAGCTGGACCTTCATTTCCTTCTTCATCTTCCTTTTTTGAATCGTCTCTCTTCTTCTCCTGTTGCTGGTTTCCTCCTTCTAAGTCCTCTCGCCTGAAAGATTATTGCTGGTGGAGGAGGTTCCTGGGCGGTTAATGTTGTTGTTGTTGTTATTGGTTGAAGTGGTGGTGTTGTTTGTGATGGGGGCCGAATTGAAGGGCGGACCTTCGAACTGGATGTTGGCCATGGGTCCACCCGGGTATTCTGGAGGTGGCGATACCCGGGTCGTTTCCCTGGCCCCACCGTCCTGTCAGACCTTCTGCATCTCGAACGTGTTCCTATAGGCACCGGCGTACGCGTGCGATCGACCTGGGGGTGCAGTTGCTACTGGATAATAATCTAAGTCGTACGCAATAAAAGTTTGTTTGTTAGTGTCACGCGGTCCAGGATCAAAGGATGATGATGCTTCTACTATAACCAGAAACTGCATAACATGTAATCACATCAAAGACCATATGATAATCGATGCGGTGATGATAGTATTTCAGTTTCTGGAGGTGAAGGTGACGGGGTAGATGTGTTTTTGTTCATGTTGTTGTTGTTAGTAAAGTGTGGTGGTGTGGAATGAGTTTCGAGGATGTTCCTAAATGCTTAACACTCTTAGATTGATACCTTTGGGGGCGTACTGCTGTCCCCTGCCCTCCCCGTACCCGTGTCGGGGTCCGTGGCTGCCCGTGGGCCGACTAGATCTTTCGCCCCTCCGGACCTGTCCCGGATGTCCGGCACTGTGTCCACCAGGATGATGTACGCCTCCGCCGCTGTGATGATTCCGCTAAAATAAACGAAATTAATAGATCTAAAGAATTTGCAAGTATTTGTTAGTACCATTCGCCGTAGCGTGTTCATGGGTCGACGCAACGTTTCGCTGATGCGTCTAGCTGGAGGTTTCTTTGGATTCGAGGAGGGAGTGTGCACCGCGCAGCACTTGATGAAGAGTCCCATGAATATAATGAAGAGGATTCCCATGAGGAGGACGGCCCACCAGTACTCCGTGATCCATTGGGCAACCGTCAGGAGAGTTTCTTTGTTGAAGAGAAGATTCATGAGCCGCACCAGGGGACCGTCCGCGTCCACCGCTCGGCATTTCAGGAACACATCGCAGTATCCCTATAAAATGAATTGATAATTCTATTGTTCAATTGGTTGTTAATAATTACCTGGAAGTTGTCGCAGGGAGAGCCGGGCCTTAAGCTGATACCGCCAGGCGGAAGTCCGACAAGATGCGCGAATTCGCTGGTACTCCGACACTTGTCCGTGCCGTTCTGGCACGCCAACTCGCACAGCTGCCTCTTGTCAATGTTAGGTGTGTCCTGCGATGTCAGCGAGCAAGCAGTGAGATTCCACTCCAAGCAGATGGAACCGCTGCAATCACCGGCGATGCACAGTTGAGTGCCGTTGTTGCATCTCGTCTTGTCAGGTCTCGGACTCGGTGCGGGACACTCCGCCGAAAGCCCGTTGCATTTCGATGACCTGGAGCAGTCCGATTCCGTTTTGCACACCTCCATCTTCCACGCTGGTATGAAATGGCAGGTGTCGCCGCTGCAGCATGGCCCTTGACTCGGACTGCACTGGGTCCCTGCTCTCCGTTGACACCCTTTCGCGCTCGAGTTCAACTTGCGATCCTCCGCGCTCACGATCCTCGGATAGCAGCAACTGTCGTGGCATTCCTTGTCGTCGTATCCACAGTCGCATTCCTCTCCAGCCTCAACAATCTTGTTGCCGCAGAAAGCACCCGCGGAAGCGGTGAAACAATTCCTCTTCTTGCTGTCGTTGATCGCGTCCAGGACATTCGAGATGTTCCCGACGCTGCAGCTGGAGAACTTGCTGTTGTTCGGACGATCTCCGCTCGTCGCGGACGCGAACATAATAAAGTTTCCGTTCAGTCCACCCGGTCTGCATTCCGGCGGATAATCGTGCTGAAGAATTCAAACAAATAGAGTTAATCAGATTATATGTTCAAGGAAAAAAAACATTATCTTACGGGTGATCCAAAATTGTGACCGATCTCGTGAGCTAACGTGAGCTGCGAAACCTTCGGCGGCACCCGACTGTTGTAGTTGACGAACGTGATTATACCGGTGTTCAGAGAGCGCTTCGTGCTTTGGTACATCCCTCCGATCGTCTCCGTGTAAGTCTTGTACTTTTCGCAGATCCCTCCGGAAGCTCCCGACGCTGATGCCACCCAGGCCAACCCCAAGGTGCCTCCGGTGAAATCGCGGTACGTGAAGACGTACGCGAGGCAAAAGTCCTCGTGATTCCCTAACGAATGGATATTCAGGAAATTGCTCACGTCGATGTTCTCCATGCAGAACTGATTGATCTCGCAGTGTACGCAGCGGCAAGACGAGTCGTCGTCGATCTGCGAAATTACGCATTTTTGATTACCAAGGGATAATATTACCAAGAAAATACGTACCTTTATCCTCTGCACCTCGAACTTTATATCCCTGTGCTCGACGCGTCCATCGAATTTCGTATCACGATAAATATAATTAACGGCAGTGACGTGATGCGCGATGAGCGACAGAATCTCCTCCCTCGTCTTCTCGTTCACTTCAGCTTCCTTCCGCGGATCCAAATGCTTTATACAAACACAAATGAAAACAATTAATAAATAACTAAACAATTTAATTGCGTCAGATCCAATTTCCCGGAACGAAATCGAAATAAAAATGATGAAAAAGGAACAAAAAGAAAACAACAGGTTGCAGGAGATGGCGCAGCTCGAAATGATGATATTATAATATGCAAAAGCAATTTAGTTTCAGCTGGATTTCTGCAGCGGGAAACGAATGTGGAGAAAAGTATATATGAAATAAAATGGGGACGGGGAAAAAGCAAAGAGAGAGTTGGTAAATCTCGCCGGAAGTTATTTAAAATTATACCTCGGGGAATCCTTCCCGTATGTGCCTCCAGATGAGGGGATCAGTTTGGATGAACAGCGAGCAGGTCTTTTTGTTCTCGTCCCTTCTGGTCGCCCTGCGAAATCTACTATTATGAGGCGCCTCGTTCGCCTCCCTCGAATATTTACTAATGTCGTCCTCTCTATTATCCTCCAAGTATGAAGAAGTAGTAGCAGTGGATGAAGACGATGAGGTTTTTTTGGCAGTTTTCTTGTTTTCTCTGAACCTCTTCGTCTTCGGCGGAGCCTCATCCTCCACGCCGTTCTGTATCGAGTCCATCCATTGGGACACCTCGTCGTTTATGCCGCAACCACCGGAATGCCCTTGAAACAGAAACAATACACGATTCACACAATGCATCGAAATTCGACTAAAATAAACGAGAATTGGCGATATCTCCATGTGAATGGATCCAATAATAATATAAATTTGGAATTGATTGGAAGCAATTCGGCCGAATGGAACGGCGCCAATGGGCCGGAAATCACAGATGAAGGATTATCTCTCATAATAATAATAATAACAACAATCAATACACGCAGAATGATAGAAAAAGAAACGTACTTTACGAGTGTAACAACAGCAATTAACGTGCAAATTATATTTGTTGTTGTTTTTACGTACCTTCACGCTCATTCTTGTAGGGATCGTCGACGTGGTGCTCCTTGTAAATCACAGAATGGAACGTCCTGTTCGGATGGAGGTCGTGCGGAAAGTAGTGGTGCGCCTTCTCCACGTAATACGAATCCTTGTTCGTTATGATTTTACCCTCGAAGACGCCGTCCATCACTGAACCGAACACCGAACTATCCGAATCGCCTGCAAATGAAAGTATTACATAATTTATTCGCACTGAAGATACACAGTTTAAATAATTCAAATGGTGCGAAATCTTCGCCGGAAGTCGAGCGCGAAACGTTGACTTTAATATTTCAGTTGGACGAAAATCGAGTCGGACTTTTCACCACTCTTCGCATATAAAATGGAACTCCCAAATGTAAAAAAAGCAACAGAACAACTTTGGTAAAAATTCCTTTTTGAATATATATTAAAAAAACATACTCACTGACCTCGTGCGATTTGCGAAATAATCCGATTATATCACCGTTTATTTTTAATTTCAATACGAATTACTCGAATTAGATTTACACAACTTGCTTCAAATTGTTCAAAAATTATATGAAAAGAAGGGAATTTAAGAATCGTAAAGGAATTATCAATAAATTGTAATTAGTTAAAACGAAACGTGACTCATGGGAAATCCCGTAAAAATACAATTATTGAAATTTCTTCAAAATCTGCAATTCCAAGTATATTTTACCTTTATTAAATAGATAATTACGTAAACATATTACTTATGCAAATCGTATTTCTATGAAAAACTTTCAAGTCATTTGCAAAACCTTAAAACAATGATTGAAATTACTAAAAATATGCAGTTCTAACTATGTTTCATCAATACCAGTTTTGCAAAAATCTTAAACACTTTTTACTATTCTATTATTGATTTACTTAAATATTTAGAATAAATTAGCACGTACTTCTATGATTAATATGTGTTTACATGAAAACTGTGCAGTTATAGCAAATGTTTGCTTTGCAAATGATGTCAGTCGTAGAAATAATTGAAGAAATTCCTAACTTCTATAATTTTATGTAATTTTTTAGCTAATTTTAAACATGAATTTCTTATTTCTCTCAATTTTCTAATTGTGTTGATTAATTTTCAGTATTTAAACAGATTACTTTTCAAACAAAACGTATATGTTTCAATATTCCATTCAAATATTGTAATTGTAGTTGAAGTTCAAGAGAAAGAACGAAAGAACGTTTTTCTGTCTTCTTGATTCCACTTTCACCTTGATTCGATCGAGTCGCCGAGTTTCAAGTAAACAAACTAGAAGATATAGACTTGAAGAAGGCACGCGGATATTTCCTTTGCTCTCTTAATACAAACACACACACAAAAGAAAAGAAAAAATGAGATGAATCGATCGGTGATTATAAACCATAAAATCGGAATTTTACGAGCGCGAAGTGAGATTGATGGTGAGAGTAGGAGGATATTTTTATAGCGTAATCCCAAACGATTTCTTTCTCTACCTCGAAACTACTAGCGCGCTCTTTGATCGACGATTACAGGAGTTTTGGTTTAAGGTAAAGTTTCGTCCAACAGAAAAAAGGAAATAACGAGAGTGAGAAAGATGAGCTAACGCAACAAAAGGCAACTTTTCAACCCGCGATAATAAATTGGAATTTCAACGTATTATTGTTACTTTTTTTTATACTTCGCTTCATGTACGTATTTCTGCGGTGAAGAGAGCAGCTACACACCCTCGGATGATGAACGACGGGACGCGTGCCGGAATTTATTGCCTCGCCTATTGTCTCCTCCTCGATATTTCAATAAACACATTCGAATTTTTTGCATTTTTTTGAACTTTGAACACGAATTACAGCCAAATGGCTAAAACCACAGTAATATATCGATACTTCCTAGATTCCCCAAACATTCAGCTTTCATATGCATCTGTTGCATTCATTCTATTATAGTTTTCGAGAAAATCAATGAAATGTAAAAACACTGCTTTTTCGAGCATTTTTTAAACTTTGAACCCGAATTACAGCCAAACGGCTAAAACCACAGTAATATATCGATACTTCCTAGATTCCCCAAACATTCAGCTTTCATATGCATCTGTTGCATTCATTCTATCTATTATATTTTTCGAGAAAATCGGTTATCGATCCATGTGTGTATATGATAATTGCATTCTCGAAGATGTTGTATTGATTTGTTTGGATTTGGTGCGGACTGTACAAACGTCGGGCACAATCGCGCGAAATAGCTGGGAATAATTGTCAAACCGATTCAGTTTGCGGGGACAATCAGAAAGGGTTTATCTATTGTGGACCCTCGAGGGTTGGTGGAGAGACTCGACGGAGAGGGACGTAATTCAATTTAACGCGTTACGAAGTTTAGGTGTTATCTCCTGCAGCTGGAATATTTGTTGCGATAATGTTCCTTTTGATACAGTTTCTCTACTGCTGCTGCTCCTAAATACTCTTCGAAGAGTTAAAGCAACTGTAGAATCATTGTTTTTTTAGATCAAAGGTTTCATTTCTACTTGAAATCTTCCCTGTTTAGAGTAGTATAACAAAAAGAAGTTAACTGCAATTTGTTTAACATCTTTTAAGTTATAAGAAGCAACAATTTCGGATGGTTGTCAGGATTGTTGCTACAACTTTCGTACTAAGATTGTTCTCATCTTAATCATCAAACCTTATGCTTTTGAAGTAGAGGATGAAGAGTGTAAAGCTGTGCTTACCGACGATGTGTCCATGGTAAATATGTGAGGAATCCACTTGTATGGGCTTCCCGTCCGTTCCGTGGACCTCCAAATTATCACTGAACACTGCTAAGTCCCTCTTGAGTCGCAGGTTGAAGTTGCGGCCGTGCGCGGCGAACGATAAGTGGACGGCATTATCCTTGACCACCGACCTCCTCGCCCTGAGATGGGCCTTGTGGACGTCCCGGTGATCGTAGGACAGAGGCTCGTAATGGGCGATGTACTCATTGAGGCGGTTGTGATTCTCTGCAAGAAAAACACATATAAAATAAGCAAAATTTGCAACAGAAAAAATTCTCAACAAAACGTGTTATTATTAATGAGGAAGTCCAACTAATTAAAATGTATAAACCGTAGCGTCAACAGTAATGTCGTGTGTTAAACGACGACGACACGTTCAGAATATACACGAAGAGTTCAGCATTTCGACAATGCATTTAACACGATGTCTCGCAACGTGAAGAACATTATTATTTTTCTTTGTTTGTTGTTGTTATCCTGGAAGGATTCGCGGAAATAAGACTAAATAAGGATTTTTACGATATAGACGTTTCCAGCTGCAGGATTCGAAATTTAATAAAGACAATGATGCTACGACGTTTTCCCGTACAAGATTCCAAGTGTAATTGGCGAACCAATTAGTGTTTTATCCTTGTACATAGATTTCTCTTTTTTTTTTTGGTATTTCTATACATTTTTCCAACATCCGCTCGTTTCTATTCATTCATCGAAAACTTTACCCAATTATTTCAATTTGTCCAAAAAATAAAAAAATAAATCCTTGCCTGTTCAATTACCTCAATTTCAACATTAACATAACAATTAATTTTAACCTTACACAGACTGCAAATATAAATAAAAATCATCAAAACAGTGTTGCTTTTTGTTGCAACATTGATCCACTAAATTACTTCAAAACAATTACAACATAAACTAATTAATTAACATAACAATAGACATTTTTTTTAAATGCGAAAACATCGATAAAAACAGTCACTTTGATCCACTTTAGGCTGAAAGCTCACCGTTTCTTTCAAGACTACTCCAGACAATTTCAATGTCTTGTGTTCGGATTATCCCCCCAAGTCTCTTTCTTCCATCACGAAAGATTTAACAATTGCTTTTATTTCTTCATACTTTATTCAAATCACAAATGGATTTTTCTTTTAAATATATGCAGAAGATGGTAAAATATAATTGGAAATGATTACAAATGTTTGTTGAGTTTTTCCCAACTTAATATATTTGTAATATATTTTACGAATTTATGAACTTTATGGAATAATAGTCTTACTTATTATAAAGTTTCTGAACTGTGTTTAACACAATTCAAGTTTAATGTTAGTTTGAGTTAAGTTTATGAAAATTTCGTTTTATTATTGAAACTTCTTTCAAACATTTTCCAATTTCTTAGTTAAAGCATTGAACATTTCTTTCGTCTTCTACACATTTCTTAATTTATACACTTCTTACTCAATTTCTACATTTATTATTAATATTCAAAGACACAATTTAAGACTAAAGTAAAAGTTATGAAAAAATCTATTTTCTTTTACAAATTTCTGAACTTTTACATATTTTACTAATCTATGAAGACAAATGTAGAAATTTACTCATATTTCAATTAGTAAACATTTCACTAAAGTTCAGAATCCATTCTATTATTGTTGCCATGACTACACCGCGTTGTCAACCAAATGAGAATTTGTTGTCGCCACACGACTCCTTGTTGTTTTTTCTTTTTCAAAGCCAACTAAAACAATTTTGCCAAATAACGAAAAGTCCGACGCGAAACTCGTTTCTCCACGAAAGCACGCATCTCGAAGAGCAATAAAAGAATACGACCGACGCAACATTAACGGCAAAGCAAAAAAAAAAAATTCCAACAATTGCGCATGTGAGCCTTCAATTTTTATGTTATTTCATTTTATTCCACTCGTCGTTGTAAAAAGCACCCGTGGAAAGTGGAGCAGCAGGGCTTATTACCACCACTACTACTCTTCTTTCATTTCGTTGTTAGCTGACCGCAAGCTTTTTGTTTCGAAATTGAAGACACTCACATAATGTCATCCGGACAACAGAAACAGCAACAAACAAAAAAAAAACCGGCTATTACAAGATGTAAAGAACGGAAGAATGAACCACAACGAACAAAAAAAAATGTAGAGGAGTAAAATGGAAAGGAAGGAAGGCAATGTTCTGCATAAATAAACAACATCTGTTTGTTAAATTAGCACCGTTAAGGAAGAATTAAGGTCGTTGGCGTTAAGAGAGAGAAAAAGAGATGAATCGTCCTCCTCGATTCAACAGAAGCCAACTAACTCAGCGTCGGATAGATTGGACTTATTTACATGCACACTATATAGAATATACGCATTTATGTATCTACATTGTGGTTTTTTTTTAGTATATAAGAAGCGAAGAGAAGGAGAGGCAGTTGCATCTGGCGCATTTCCACGATTACTCACGCATTACGCAGCGAATGAAAGTATGAATGTATGGAGGGAAAAGGGCTTTAATTAACATGTACGTTTAGATGTAATTTAAAATAAAGAACGTAGACTGGATTAAAAAGAATTCGCAAATTCGAAATGTTGATTTGGGTTAATTATTATAGCAAGTTTGACGTCGGATCGAGGAGGATGTTCGGCCCTTGACGAGGGTACTGCTGCTGCTTTTGGTAGGGGATTCCCAGATAGTCTGCATTCTTCTCTTTGACCCGAATCACTCGTATGAATATTGCATTGGTTGTGCTCACTCGCTAACTCACTCCAATCGCTGCCCGAATCCAATCAAACAATTCACTTCAATTAAGCCGCTCTAATTAAATCGCATCGATCAGCAGTAAAAACAACAACAAAACTTTCACACACTCAAAATAAAAACAAAAACAAAAAACAAAGATGAAAAAGCGGCTTTCTATTCAGTTTTTAATCCCATTACGGATAATTGCTCGTGTCCAACAATATTTATAATTTTTTTTTATCTTGTTATTTTTTGTCTTTACTAAGCTGATTTACGAATACGCAACCAATTATTAATTTTTCTAATTTAATTAAAAATTTGAATAAAATTGAATTATTTAAAAAAATATGATTAGAAAAGATGAAAATGGGACCTATTTTCTTATTCATTTACTCAAATAACTGCATTTTTTAAAAACTTCTTTGTTAGCTTAAATTCAGTAAATTTTCACTTTATTTTAAGTAAATTTTCGTATCTTTTTATAAGCTGAACATAAATATTTTGATTTCATCAAATAGCTTTTTGTTTCGAAATTGAAGACACTCACATAATAATTACATTGTAAGCTGATTTTCGAAACGTTCCAACTATTTAATTATATAATTTCATCAAATTTTGGCTCTATTTTAATTAAAAATAGTAGAAAAGGTGAGAAACGTATTATTATTAATGTATTTACATTGTAAGCTGATTTTTGAAACGTTCCAACTATTTAATTATATAATTTCATCAAATTTTGCTCTATTTTAATTAAAAATAGTAGAAAAAGGTGAGAAACGTATTATTATTATTAAATTATTTCTATGCAAATGAAACGTTTCAGTATGTAAATACATTTAATTAATGTTATTGCAGCAAATAAATCAAGTGACTTTAACGGTTTACAAAAACCAGTTCTTTTTTTATTTTCGAGACAATCAATAAACGAGTTGTGTGTGTGTTTTATTATTAGTTATTTTTTTTGGTAAATTAAATTTAGATTTAATTTATGGCAGTAGATTAAAAGGTAAATCCCGCGGTTTATACGTCGTTCGGGTTGTTAAATCATTGTCAAGTGGATTTATGACTATGAAACGTTTGAGCCTATTGCTATTTATTATCTGTAACTCTTTTCACCATTTTAATATTTCCCAAATCTTTTTATATAATATTAGGATTCAAATTCGTATTACGCGTAACTTGGGCAAAGTTTTATAGAAAGCGTAAGTATCAGATAAACAAATCTTGATTACAAGTACATTGGAACCTCGCTTAACGAACGATGTTTCGCATAACGAGTGACGATGAGAAGAGAAGTCCCGGATTGAGCGCCTTCTACATAATTTTTAAAACTTGTGTACAAGTACATATACTTGAGTATATTAACCATCTTCGCTTTTCTTCGTCATCTTTGTTTATAGCAGATTATACTTTGCTAATATAATTTGTGTTTGCTGTAAATGCAAAGCACAAATGTATTGTGTCCAACCATTATTATAATATATAAACACATTATGTACGCTTTTTTATATAAACAAATATTAAAAGTATAAAGAGACTTCCAACAAATCCCAGAATTGATACAAGTAATATAAACAAATATAAACTCACTTCACCGTCTGTGAATTGGAAAACTGTTCCTAGTGATAGTTTTCTAGTTGCATCTTAGTGTTGTTTGTGATCACAAAATTTCCAAACTTGTTATTTGTGATTTTTTTTAGTGCAAAATTGAATAACACTTGCATGTCTCCGAATAAAAAGCCAAATAATAAAAAGAACCATAGATTTGAAAAGCAAAATCATGAAAAATCGAGACTAAGTTATTCTTTTTTTCCGTCACATTATCGTAATTTACATTAGTTTATATGGGAAAACGTGTAACTATTAAGCGAGGTTCCACTGTATTTGAAATTAAGTTAAAAAGAAATGTACAAAGTGGATATTATGTTTTAGTTTTGTTGAGCGAAACTAGTAAAGTGTAAATAGTTTGCACGACTCGTTTCATTGGGAATTAACGATATAAAACTGATTAGGCTACAGTTGAATGGGAATTAGTCGAATGGATGAATTGGACTAAATAGAAAAAAAAAATGAAGCTAGGAGAGAGGGCTGGGCCGTTGCGTGGGTGACGCGATTTATTATGCATTTCCTGCGGTAGAGAAATGAATTAAATGGGAGTTCGCATTTAGTAATTAACCGAACGGAATGAAGGGGGAATTCCCCCAACCCCCCCACTCTCTTCATAACCACCAAAAGAAGAGGAGATTCGTCGCAGACAAAACTCGAGCATGTTTTCATAAATATTATGTTGTCCGCTTCATAAATGCAAATCTCATCTCATACATATTCAGCAAGATTTAATAATACATCTTTCTCTATTTACTTATTTCTTGTTATCATTATTATTTACTTTTTTTCCCTCTCTCTATTCTTCATATTGCGCCCATATTTAAATAATGCATCCGCAAAACCAATTATTTTATGCATTGCTTTTCCATTTTTCAGCATTCGAAAAACAAAAC